CACCCTCCTCCCTCACATCCCACCTGTTCTCAAAATAAGAAGCCCAAGTGCCCCCTCCTCCAGGAAGCCCTCTCTGACTCCTCCTCCTGCCAGGACTGTTTCTGGTCTCCTTCTTTTCTGCCCCTGTTCCAGACCTGTCACACTGTCCCTGCTGCCCACTCTCTGTCTTGCTCAGGGATTGGTCCCCTGACCCGTCTCTGCCCTCCAGCTCACCTCACCGTGGCCAGCCCTCTGAGAAGTTCAGTCCCTGTGAATTGAATGATCAAACAAGTGACTATTTTCCCTCTTTTTCTGTGACTCAGCAGTCCCCAACCCCATCTGCCCTTGTCTGTCCTGGTCCCCATGAGAGAACAGAGGGCAGAGAATAGGGTACAGGCTCTGGAGTCAAGCCGATCGGCATGGGATGCTGTGCAAACCCGGGCAAGTGTCTAGCCCTCTCAGAGCCTCAGTTTCTTCATCTCTAGTCAATCATGCTGCCTTGAGGGGCTACCGGTGAATAAATGACGATATCTACCACCGACCCCAGCCAGGCGCACGGGGGCGCTCAGCAGAGTGTCTTCCTGGGTTCTCTGTCTCTGCGTCTGGATTAAGCTGGCTTCTCTGGAACCCTCTCTCGGGTGTCCTTGTCTCTTCCCCCCTCTAGCACAGGGCCCCTTGTCTGTCTTTCTGTCTCTCTCTCTCTCTCCCTCCCTGCCTTGCCCCCACCTGCACCCCTCCGCCCCCCATCTCTCTTGGGCCCTCCGAATCCCACTCTCTGGCCTGGCTCCCAGCCGGGGACAAGTGGTCAGAACCAGCCTTTAGAGGTGATGTCAGCACTGCGGGATGCGGCCGGTCGTAACCCTGCGTGGAGGGGCTCCTGCACACCTCTGCCAGGCCCTGGCCAGCTGGACTGACCTCTCTCCCCAGCAAAGACCCTCGCCTTGGGGACCATGTTTCCACATAGGGGTGCCTTTCCCTGCTGTGGGTCTTTGTCTATGTCCAGGAGCGTCTGTGTGTGAATCGGTAGGTGTTTGTGCAAATCCATCCATCCATCCATCCATCCATCCATTCCTTTATTTATTCTCCCAACACCCGTCCATCTATGCAGTTGGTAACTGACCCATCCATCCTCCTGGTATCCATTGGTCCAGCACCTTCCATCGCCACTCCTTCCATCACCACCCACCCAGGGGTCCGGCACCCACCTAGCCATCCATATGTAATGAATACCCCCCTCTATCCATGCGTTCCTCCATCGGGCCCAACCACAAATATGTTGTGAGTGCCTGCCATGTGCCAGACCCTGTGCCTGGTGAGCCACGAGCCGTGTGCCCCTCCTCCTCCCTCTCCCCTGCTCTAACCCACTCCCCCTTTGAGCTCGGCTCAAACAGGGTTACACGGGAAGCACACCCTCCCTGACCTCTTTCTCAGTCACCCAGCACCCTGGACTTGCCTTGGTAGCGTGGATCCTAGTTAGGAGCCTGGGATGTTGAGTTATTTGATCATCTGTCTTCTCACTAGATCACAAGTTCTCCCTCCACTGGGATTTTTGTCTATTTTGTCTATTTCCCAGCCTAATCTCTGTTGCCTAAAAAAAATGTCCAGGACACAATAGATGCTCACAAAGCATACATCAAATGCCCGCGTGAATTCAACAGGATAAATATGGAGGACTCTCCTTCTGTCTCCTGGTTCCCGTTCTTTATACCACCATTCTACATTCCCAGGGGCAGTGGCTTGCAAGGGCCTTCCCACATCCCAGATGCACTAAAGTTGTGGCTAGGGCAGGGGCTCTAGGTTGACATGCACATGTTGCCAATCTCAAACCTGACACTTGCCAGCTGTGTGGTCCTGAGCAGGGTGTGTCCCTCTCTGGGCCTCAGTTTTCTCACTTGTCAAATGTGATTAAAGATTAAATGAGCAAACACACGCAAATATTAATTACGCCAGCACTAGCCACTAGCTATTTCTTCTAAGCACCTCCCGTGCATTTAAATTAGTCCTTAAAATAATTAATAATTTTCAAAAGTATCATCATCCTCATTTACAGAGGTGGAAACCAAGGTGTGGAGAACATAGAAACCCGCCCAAGTCTCCATAGTGAGGGAAAAAGCAGAGTGGGACTTGAACCTGATGCTTGGCCCTCCAAGCCACACTGGGTGCCAAAGACTGCCCCTCAATGCCCGGGCAGCCTCAGAGTCCAGGGCTCTGGAAACGTGCACATTTCTGAGTGTGTGCATGCCTGCTGGCCTGAGGAAGGGGGTTGTTGGTGGAGCCTGGACAGGCCCCTGCTGGGTGCAAGATCTGGCGGTGAGAATGGCCATAGAGCAGGGCCACGCTGCGCTCTCTACAGGTATGGGCTCAGGCAAGCTTCCCTGGGAGTGAATGCAGACCCTTCTGCAAAATGTGAGCAGACAGGAGGATGGGAGTCCGGGGTGAGCCAGGGGGCATTTTTGGAGGATTCTGCCATCTAAGGACTGTAAGATGAATACAGTTGCCCAGTAGAGAGGGCAATCTAGTTAGGGGAGAGCCTAGAAGACTGTGTTACAGTTGCATTTGCAGAAGCAAGAAATCTTTTTCTTAAAGGTTGTATTTATTGGGGTGTCCCTGGTTGGGGGTAGGCACCAAGTGAGATTGGGGGCCTTCCAAAGCCACCTTTCTGGGCTGGGACGGTGGCTAGGTACATCTGGACTTCGTCAAGGGAATTAACCTCCATGGGTCTTGTTTGTCTCCTCTGTGAAATGGGAATAACCTAATGGCACCCATCTCAGCACCAAAGTGAAGATTAAACGAGAAAATCCTTTCAAAGCACTCAGCACATTGCCACTTTATCATAGGAAGAGGCAATTATCATTAACTGCTATTAATATACCAGAAACTGCTACTTGCTGCTTTTAAGAAGTATTCATTAAAGCACCGACTTGGTGCTGGAGCTTCATCTATCCTGACTGGTTTTTCAAACTCTGCATCCCTTAGGAAATAAGTGGATTGTTTACAATCTGCCGGTGAGAACGGGGCGAGGAGCCAGGATCCTACAGCAAAGAGCGGCCCCTTTGGAGCCTCCAGCTCGGCCTCCGCCTGCGAGGCCTCCTCCTGCTGCCAGCCCTCAGAGCGGCTCAGGGGGAGGCACCAGGGTCCGGGGTTTCTAGGTCTGAGAGCCGCAGAGCCCTGGTGCCGGGGACACAGGGGTCCTGGTCCCAGATCTCCGATGTGGAGGCGCACTGGGTCTCTGATGCCTCGGTGCCGGGAAGTCTCCCTCCTTCCTCGCTGCAGCCTCGCGATTTTGGCTTTCGGGCGGCGGGTGGGGAGGGGAG